TGATTGCAATATGAATAACACCGTTTTCGCATACTGTTCTCATTAAGAAGTACTTTGTTGCTAAGATTAATTTTAGAATTGTTAGTTAGTTGCCAAGTTGACTGAACTGACAAGTTTAGATTTGTTGGCACACAGTGGTTTCGTTCAACAAATATTTAAGTCATTCTTGCATTTCTTTTTCTGACTGGATCACTCATTAAACTCCATAGCCTCCAAAGAGTTCAATGAGTTTTAAATCCAATTTTTCCAACTTCATCAATTTTTTTATTTAAAAATCAAAATTGATTATATGCAAATCGAAAAAAAACCCACAGCTGTGTCTGTTAAAACACGGTGCCAATTGAAGTGACAATCTGTGAGAAAAAAGCAACACGAAAAACTTCCTGATGCTTTGTTTTGAATATCTGCCGTCGATGGTGGTGACATAGAACAATTGATTTACAACTCGCTGTATGCAAATGCAAAAAAAAACCAAAAACAAAAAAATAGCCGCAGCAATGTTTAAGGCGTAAACACGTACCATTCATTAGCTTCGGACAGAAATTAATGCAGCGACAGAATGTCCGCCATTCCATCAACTGGTTAATATACATACGTATGTGTGTGTATGTGTGGAAACCTTGTAAGTCAATATGGAACACTACTACCAACCACAACATTTGCATAAATGCTAGCATTTAAATGGCAAATGTCCGATATCTGAGTATGAGACGGCATTTTAATCAAGGAATGAAATATTTATTTGATGCACTGCTTTCACGGATAGAATAATGGGAATTTTTTCTCAAAAATTTTTCTTTAGGTGATCACGATAATCTAATAAAAAAATATTATAAAATGATCGATAACCTTAAATTACATTAAATGTGATTGAGTAAAGAGAGAAATTTTAATAGATGAATTGCTGACAGTTTGCAAATTCTTATTGGGAAAAATTTCTCTCCAAGAATTATTATTAAAAAATAAAAAAATTTCAATAATTACAGGAAAAAAGTAAAATAACTAAAACTAGAAAAAATGTGTATTGACGTCTTGGTTGGAAATCCGCAAAACTTGTTTCCATATCCATGAATCCTTGAAAATGTACGAGTCTTATTTTATATCTTTCACTAGCCTAACTTCCATGTCCTTACAATTGCATGGGTCAGGCCTCACTATATTTGAAAGTCCACGTGTTTTTCTCCATAACCATGGAAATTCCAGAATCCAGGTTTCATTTCCTTAAAAATATACGAGTCTTCTTTTTATGTCCTTTAAAATTATTCTGTGTTCGTAAGAAAATCTACCAATCCCAATTCTATGTCCATGAAATCTATATCCTTAAAAATCCATAAGACTTGTTAAAAAACCCCTTGAAGCTCACGAGTATTGCTTTTATATCCTGAAAAATCGATGAGTCGTAGTCAGATATTTTTGAAAATCAATCATCCTTGCTTCGTTATGTTTAAAGACTCTTCTGAGAAGACATTCTGGTCTTCCATGGGAGTGAAGAGAAGTTCTACCACTCTTCTATGGGAAGACCAACCGGACTTTTCAAAAATACCTTCTGGTTTTTTAAGGGAAGACCCTCGGGTCTTCTTTGAACATCTTTTTCGCATCTTCTTCCGGAAGAACAGATCTTCTGGTCTTCTCAGGGAAGACCTTATGCACTTCTTGTCCTTCTTCTCAGAGAATAACTTCGGGTCTTCTGTTAGAATACTTTTGGGCCTTCTATGAGAAGTCTTTCAATCCTCCTATGAGAAAACCTTTCTGGCCTTTTATTAAAAACCCACTTATATTTCTTTTCTGCCATTGAAATCCATGTCTTGAAAATCCTGGAGAATCCACGAGTCGTAATAGTAGTCTACCATTGAAAATAGAAAATAGACTTTTAAAAATACCTCAACAATTTAGAAGGCTTGCTTCCATATAAAATCTGAAAAAAAAAACGTGATAACCTTTACTGAAATCCTAAAAATCCACGAAAGCTTCCCTGTATTGAAAATACACGAGTCTTAATCATATATCTTTCTTGGTTATCTTCAAAAATCTACGACGAGTGCTACTTTTCAAAATCCTCCAAAAATCAACAATGAACCCTGAAAAAAATCCTTTACTGGCATCCTTAAGTATCCACGAATTATTCACCTATGTCCTTGAAAATCCTGATGTGGAAAATCCATTTTTCTCTTTTCATATCCTTAAAAAACATTGAGTCTTGCTTCCTTATTTCTGATAACCCACTAATCTTTCTTTCCTTATCTTGAAATCTACGAAGGCTTCCATATCCCTAAAAATCCTGGAAAATTCAAGAGTCGTAGTCACATATCTTTCTTCGTTATATTCAAATATCTACGACGAGTTTTACTTTCAAAATCTCCCAAAAATCAACGATGAAACTTGGAAAAACCATGTGAAACACTCTCCAATGTCCTTATCCATGATCCATGAATTGTGTTTCTAGTACTTAAAAATCCTTCTATTGTAAATCTATCTTTCTCCCTTTATATCATTGAACATCCACGAGTATTTTTTCCTTACATTTTAAAAACCCATTAATTGTTCTTCCTTGTCCTTGAAATTCAGGAAGGCTTTCATATCCTTTCAAAAACCCACTAGTCTTGATTCAACATCTTTGAAAATCAACGTGTTTTCAAACATATTTTTGAAAACCTGTTTCAATACCCTTTAGAATCCTTGATATTCCTGAAAATACACGAGCTTTGCTTGAAAATAAAGAATTTTTCCTACTATATCCTACCCCTAGAATCTTGCTTCGATGTCCTTGAAACGTAATTTCCTTCCAAATCCAATAGTCTTGATTCCATATCCTTTAAAATTTCCAGGTCCTGAATCAATATCCTTAAAAAACCAAGCATTTGTTTTCATATCCCTAAAAATCTACGACCATTGCTTGGAAATAAATAAGTTTTCCTTTTATGCTCTGAAAACTCCAATAGTCATGCTTTCATGTCATTGAAACGTAATTTCCTTCAAAACCCAATAGCCTTGATTCCATATCCTTAAAAATTTGCACGTCCTGAATAATTATCCTTTTAAATCCAAGAATCCATTGCTTGAAAATAAAGAAGTCTTCCTTTTATACTCTGAGAACTCCAATAGCCTTGCTTCCATGTCCTTGGAAATTTCGCAAATCTTGCATCCACATGACTGCAACGTTATTATTAAAGTTCCATAAGCCCTCTTTTCAGTTTCTGGAAAAACACAAGAGTTTTCAAAGGATGGAAGAAAAGCCCACAATTTTTTTAAGGATATGGACTCGTAAATTTTCAAGAATTAAATTAAAAAAAAAACAATAAAGAAAGTCTTAAAGTCGGGCGGGGCCGACTTTATGATACCCTACACCACTTTGCTAATTTAGTAGAGCTCCACATAACAATTAAAAGTTTTTATGGGAGAATTCAATCATACACGCCATGATTATAATTATAATTTAAAGTTCAAAGGACTAAACATGCCGAAGCATTTGTATCTTTTAAATTCGGACTTGTATTGACCATTTGGTGCACAATTAATTTGAAATCGGATAAATATATATATGGGAGCTATATCCAAATCTGAACCGATCTCGATAAAATTTGGCAAAGATATTTCTGAGCTGTATTTGATATATTTCCCTGAATATCGTTGTTACGGAGTGCATATTACGGTTGTGGGTAACAAATATAACAAATCGGATGAACAGTATATGTGGGAGCTATAGCTATATCTGAACCGATCTTCACCAAATTTGACATACTAGCTTCTAGACTCAATTCGGTCGTAAGTGCCAAATTCCATCCCATTTGGACAAATATTAGACGTTTGGTACACAATAAATGGCAAATCGGCCGAAGTTATATATGGGAGCTATATCCAAATCTGAACCGATGTCGATAAAATTTTGCAAATGTATTTCTGAGCTGTATTTGATATATTTCCCTAAATATTGTTGTTGCAGAGTGCATATTACGGCAGCGGTGGACAAAAAAAACAAATCGGATGAACAATATATATGGTAGCTATAGCTATATCTGAACCGATTTCGATCAAATTTGGCATACATATTTTCAGGCCATACAATTCGGGCTGATATACACGTTTGGTGCACAATAAAAGGCAAATCGGGCGAAGATATATATGGGAGCTATATCTAAATTTTGACCGATTATCTCCAATTTCAATAGGGTTCGTCCTTGGGCCAAACAAAAGATCTTTGCAAAATTTCATCTGGATCGGGCAATAAATGCGACCTGTACTTTGTTTACAAAAATACATGGACAGACGGACGGACAGACGGACGGACGGACATGTATAAATCGTTTTATCCTTTTTTTATCCGATATCCTTGAAAATGCCCAAATTTGGCTCCCATGCCCACGATTGTTTCTAAAAAAATCCATGGAAGATACTAGATAGAAGATAGAGACTATATAACAGGCCCCTCATTTTGATTGCCGACTTCCATGTGGAAACCCCAATGATTAGAAACTGGGAAAGTTTCTGTGCCACAAAAAAGACAAAACATGTTGGTCTCAGTTATTAAACCAGCTGTTTGTTTAGCAAGTGGCACACTCAGCCAGCAAGCTCTGGCTGAGTGTGCCACCAAAAAAAAAAAAAAAAACACAACACAATAGACTTGTTTACAAGGGGGACAAAATTCGGCAGACGACCCCAAGCGAGATCCACAAGAAGACGCTCTACACACAACGCCAGCAAACAACAAAAGAAGACGTACAACAACAACAAATAGAAGAAGAGCAGAAGAGCACACCGCATAGAATCGCAAGCAAAAGCGTCTGAGATGTGGTGAAGCCAGCTGACTACTCTACAGTCGCAAAGCATGAATGTGTTGAGCGGCGAGCGATTAAATGAATGGCTAGATCGATGGGACGGATGGATGATGTGTGTGCGTTCACGCTCAGTGGGATCTTGGCAGCAGCAGCAGCAGTGCGGCGACGGAGAAAACAGCGGCGCCACCAGCACCAGCACCAAACAACAAAATCGTCGGACGCACTCATTGGAACATTTCAGTTTCGATTTAACACTGCTTGGCTAACGACGTCGGCGCAGTTGTGGTATTGTTTGAGAAAAAGAATAGCTAGCAAAGAAAGAAAGAACGAAAGGAAGCAGATTCAGTGTCTAGAAAAAGAAGAAGAAGAAAAAGATAGAATACGCGTCGCGTTTTTGCCTTCAAAGTGTTTGTGAATGTGAGAAAAATGTGAGAAAATCGAAAAGAATGTGAAAAAAAGAAAATACAACCACCAGGTCAGAAAGAAAATTCAAAAAAGAAAATTAACCGAAAAAAATAAAAATTTCACATCTATGGGGTGTCCATAGATAGCAACGACAATCAAATCAAATTCAGAAAAAAGGAAGAAAGGAAAAAAAGTGATAAAAATTTCAAGAGCAAAAGAATACAATAACAACATCAAAAAAAATCATAAAAGTGTTGTAATTTTAAGGAAATAAAAAAAAGAATAATTATTATTTTTATAATGACAAAATTAAAAACAACAAGAATTGCTTTTGCGGAGAACTTCAAGTGGTGTTAGCGCTACATAAAGCCGGTTTGCTCTCCGATATTTTCCAAAAAAGTAAGATTTTGGTTAAAAAAAAACACCAACAATATCACCACCATCAGTAGTCGTCAGTCTCCACTACCTACTTCACAGAACTGGTTTAACTTAACCCAAAACATTAAACAAAGAAGAAATAAAACAAAAAAAAAAACACAGCAACAAAAGACAAAAAACCTTAATACGATTGTTCTCCATTGAGGCATACATCCCCAACTACATCACCACCACTACCACCATCGCGGTGAGCTGAGACCATTCGCCAAAAGACTTAATCATCTTCCACTTAAATTTAGAAATATGAATGTGAGACCAAGTTTTAAGTTTAATTTTGACCAGAACACAGAAAATGCCGCCAACACTAAGTGCTAAATGGAATATAGATCAGCTTATCTTTATGTCTCCGTTAGCCCCCCGGGGCCATACAATAATGTAAATTTTTAATGTAAGGTCGCTCGAAAACATGTGTCCGAACATGATTTTCACTTTCTTTTTAGCTGAAAGTGTTTTTTGTTGTGTTCGGGAACATTAAAGCCGTCAAAGGGTGATAAGATTAATTGCCTGTTCCCATGAGAATACCCATGAGAATATTCTTAAAAGTGTTGGGAGATTTAATTAGCTTTTAACGGCTTTGAATATGAGAGGCAGGCCGACTCTTGTAAACGAATCAAGGGCTAATTTCTCTATAACGCAGGAAAATAGAGGAGGGCACTGAGCACTCCTAATTTTTTTTTTTTTTTTTCTTTTTGATTTGCATTTCTGGAAATGAAAAATGGAGGACGGCCCTGAGCACTCCTAATTTTTGTACCCTACACCACAATGTGGTCAGGGTATTATGTCTTTGTGCATTTGTTTGTAACAGGCAAAGGGTTCCTTTTGATGATCTGCATAGAATCACATTCTGAGTCGATTTATGCATGTCCGTCCGTCTGTCCATGCATTTTTGTAAAAAAATGCAGGCCGCATTTATCATTCGATTGAGATGAAATTTTACACAAGTCATTTGTTTGGACGAACCCTATGAAATTGGAGATAATCGGTCAAAATTTAGACATAGCTCCCATATATATATATATATATATATATATATATATATATATATATATATATATATATATATATATATATATATATATATATATATATATATATATATATATATATATATATATATATATATATATATATATATATATATATATATATATATATATATATATATATATATATATATATATATATATATATATATATATATATATATATATATATATATATGTATATATATATATATATATATATATACATATATATATAAACGTGTAATATCAGCCCAAATAGTATGGAATTTTGCACATACAATCAAATTTGGCATACTTTTTTTCAGGCCTAATTTGATTGTATGTGCAAATCGGTTCAGATATAGCTATAGCTCCCATATATATTGTTCAACCGATTTTTTATTTTTTTCCTCCGCAGCCGTAATATGCACTTCGTAAGAACAATATTTGGGGAAATATATCAAATGCAGCTCAGAAATACCTTTGCTAAATTTTATCCAGATCGGGACAGTTTTGGATATAGCTCCCACATATTACTTCGTCCGATTTAATTTTTATTGTGCACCAAACGTCTAATATTTGCCCAAATGGGATGGAATTTGGCACTTACGACCGAATTGAGTCTAGAAGCTAGTATGTCAAATTTGGTGAAGATCGGTTCAGATATAGCTATAGCTTCCATATATATTATTCATCCGATTTGTTATATTTGTTACCCACAACCGTAATATGCACTCCGAAACAACTAAATTCAGAGACATAAATCAAATACAGCACAGAAATATCTATGACAAATTTTATCAAGATCGGTTCAGATTTGGATATAGCTCTAATATATATCATTATCCAATTTCAAGTAAATTGTGTCCCAAATGGGCAATACAAGCCCCAATTGAAAAGATACAAATTCTTCGGCAAATTAAGTCCTTTGAACTTAAATTATAATTATAATCATAGCTTGTGTGATTTAATTATCCCATAAAAACTTTTAATTGTTATGTGGAACTCTACTAAATCAGCAGACTAGAATATATCAATAGACCTCTAGACTAGAATATGTCAATAGACCTCTAATTTAGAGTAGATATCAGATTTCGAAAAAAATATTACCACAGATTATTAATTGATGATCGAACATCAGCCAAGATCCAAGTTTGGGGCAATATGGCCACACCCCTCAAATTACATGAGATATATGGGTATTCCAAATGTTGATTATTCGGGAGGTATGAGTAAATATATCCTATACTAGCAAGTCCAAATACTCCAAAACCTTACACATACACTTATATTCAAAATTTTCCATTATCGAAAAGGATAATCGAAAAATGATTACTTTTTCACAAAAAAAGTCTTCAAAATTGTTCGTTCTGAAGTTTACCGAAGAGCATATTGGTAAACCCTTGCACAATAAACCCACATAAAATTTTACTTGCCAAAACCAATTCAACGACTTTTCATACTAAAAATTGACCACCATCATATCTAAGTCCTAGAAACCAACAGTGCGTCAATATTAAATTTCAGAATTCAAACCTTATCTATTCACTGAACGACGAATTAATTACCATTTAGTACTTTTCGAACAATCATAGTACGCATTCTCAAATCCAAGTCCTTCTCAAAACTATATTCCAGTAGTGACCTCGATACTAAATTTCAAATTTCCGGCTCTATTCTAAAACAAGTTAACAAGAACTTTTAATACCCTGCACCTTAGGGTAAAGGAAACATTAGAAGCCATTATGACCCACAAATACCAATTTTTAGACATATTCGTGGGAAAATCATCAAAATATGGAATATCGGAAGGTACTGCTATATGGCTATGGGCTATGGCTATGGGCTATACAAAAACGTGAGCCTATACATACAATGTTTCGCCAGTGGAGCTAGAACCCATTAGGACACACAAATACCAATTTTTAGACAAATCCGAAATATGGCAAAAATCATCAAAATACCGAATATCAGGAGGTACCGTTATATGGGGACTATACCAAAAGGTGGACTGATTTATCTCATTTTCAATACCCACCATCCTAGACACAATACAAATTATTCTGCTAACTTTTGACGCTCTACGTCAAATAATGTGTTCTGTATCGTGATTTCAACAGACAGCCGGACATCATTAAATTGACTTAGAATTTTATGCTGATTATGGATATATACACTGTATGGGGTCTACGACGAATATTTAGAGATGTTACAAAGGGAATGACAAATTTCAATTTCAATCAAATTTCAAGATTACAACACTATTCCTCCACCCAATACCCAATTTAGTACCACTTAGTACCTCAATTATAGTATACAGTTTCCATGGACATATCTTAACCACACACACCAACAATGGCATCTAAAGGGTGCCATAAAAAAACTGCAACAAATTTTTTACATTTTTTTTTTAAATTTCATTGAATGAAAGCAAAAAATGTCGGAAATAGCATCAAATTTTAGAATAAGTCTAGTTTTTTTTCGAATTTGTCACCCTTGGCACGAATTATGGCCTTCAAACGGCCACGCTGCCCGAATGTTGCTCTACGGTATTTTGGCCCATTCCCTTGCTTCGCTTGCTTCAGGTGATCGATACTTTGATATTTTTAGTGCCAACATTCCTTTCCAAAATACTCCAGACACAATAGTCCAACGGATTGGTATCCGGAGATTTTGGTGGCCATTGTGCGCTGGAAATGGAACCTCATTTTGTAACCATTCTTGGGTGGCGCTTGCTGAGTGTTGGAATGTCCAAGGTCTGCGTCCAAAATGTTTGCGTGCTCAAGGCTTTAATACACCCTCCAGAATATTTTCGCGATAATATTCGGCATTTATTCTGATGCCACGGTCGATTAATACGAGCGGAGAGTGATCATCGCCTGTTATGGCGGCCCACACCATCACCATGGCCGGCGCGTGAGTTCTGGTGGCTAACCGAAGGTGCACATTTTCAGCTGACCTCTTTGGCAAGTAAGCACGATCATTTTGTTTGTTTACAAACTGCTGGACAACGAATGTTTTCTCATCGGAGAAAACCTAATTCGGCAGTTCACCACTTTCGGCCAAGCGAAGCAACTCTTTATCTCTTTTGAGTCTATTTTCTTTCTGTTGCGATGTAAGTTATTGTACTTTTTGGAATTTCAATGGCTTTACCCCGAGCTCATTTTTCAATATTTGCCGAATGGAAACATTTGCGATATGTTCAGCTCACGAGCCATTTTTCGGCCACTGCAACGCGGGTTTCAATCAAGTCGCTTCTTTATTTTGGAACCAGTATCACGGTAACGAGCGATGGTAGGAGACACAAAAGATTTATTCACATTTAAATGCTGGAGTTCTCTAACGATAGCCACTTGTGGTTTTCCAGCCGAATATAAAGAAATTACACTATCACGCTTGAATTCCATCACGAAAATTTTTTTTCTGGAAAATTCTCACCAAAATGCTTTTGTACGCTTATAAGCAATATAATGAGCTGTCACTGGAATAATTTTAACAGCTGTCGGACGAATGGCTTAGAAATGACAGCAGTCTGAATTTGGTTGCAGTTTTCATCTACCATATATATCATATAATACGGCCAAAACGTGTCTCATCGAAAGAACGATTTTAGTCCCTGGGTCTTTTTGTAACAAATCCGTTTCAGGATATATGGTATCGCCCTAGCGATGTCCGCCCGTCCGTCCGTATTTCTCTCTAACTGGCTGGTGCGCACGATTGCTCTCGAAACAAGTATCCGATTTGGTCCAAACTTGGTACATCGTAATATTATTAGATGAGTTGAGTTCGGAGATGGCCAATTCTTCTGGTACCTCCACGAAATTTAAAAAAATATATATATATTCTACTGTACAGAAAGATAAAAGATGATCCGATTTTGTTTCAACTTTGCAAATCTTACTTTTTTTGTATTAGTGTTAGGTTATGTGAGAAAATGGGCAATATCGGTGCACTCCA